CATTGTCGTTAATTTTGAGTGACTGAACCATAAAGTTGATCCTTACATACTGCTAACTTCAACATAATAAAAATTAGAAAATTACATCTCTAAAACACGATATCGTATATATGCCATAACAACCGACGATGCCATCATATTTACATTTTTTGTTTTAATAGTCGCTTTTTCACTACTACTAGGTCATATAGCGACCACTTTGAATGTTTGCATTGGGTTAATTGTAGGAGAACACTACAAGTAAGGACAACAGAAGCACACAAACATCCATGCCCTAGGCGGAATTCGAACCGTCGACCCTTCGAACCGAGACAACTACGGCCCTACAGCCTTAGTGATATCTGTTATCCAAGCGAGCCGGTATTTACATTCTTTGTTTGCATCCAATTTTTAAATTTTCTGTATTCTTTCTCGTGCAATGCACTGGACTTTGCAGGTATTAAACATTTTTCTCCTTTCGCATGGCATGGACATGACTTCTACAATTTCTTTTGGCAAGGAAGGCATCCCTCTTTTACATACTCTTGAGAATCGACCATCAGCTGTGCAATGTTCGTGAGGTCATAATTCCAATATCTACGTTGCCAACTGCAAAACCACTTTCGAAATTAGTTCCTAAAATTAATTTTAATTCTTTTACAAATTTATACAAAAATTGCGTATGCAACTCGTTTATAATGTTCCTTTTTTGCGCTCATATGAATAACCGAACTCACTCCTATCTTCCTTCATTCGTCAATATTTTCTTATTCGTGCAAAAAGTTCCACATTTTAAACTAGTTGGGTAAACTACCACTTTTCTCTAATTTAATTTTACACTCATTTCGGGTTTCTGCACTTTTCTGACCACTCGTACTATGGAGTGAGGGCACCCAAGTACTGAACACACGAACGTTTTCGTTATCAAGGACACCCCCGAATGTCTATTTTCGTGAAATCCTCGACATTAATTTTTTTTACGCTTTATATACACATATGCACACTCTCTCTTTTTCTGTCCCTCTCGGTCTCTCTCCTTCTCTTTGTTTCTGTATGTTTTAGACATAGAGAATATGCTGTATACATAGAATGTGAAAATTGGTCGATAAAAAGAGTTTAATACGAAAGAAAAGTTCAGAACGAAGATAAACCTTTGTTTTACAAGAAGCAAATGAATGAGAAGCAAAAGGAATGTAAAAAGATGATTCCTAACAATTGTTACATTTTGGCAGATTGCTTCCTCTTGAAAAAATTCAGTAATTCTTAAGAATTGATTTAATGTAGTCATTTTAGAGAAATTTCATACAAATTCAGAAAAATCACCAGGAAAAGTCAGTCAAATACTGTTGTGCATCAAAAACCGAGCTTGTTTATTCCCTTTCTTGCCTTCGAGATTGTTTCGATGAACGTCGCATGAGACCATGGAGCGGGGTTCTGCGTGACCGCCGTGCTGACGTCTTCGTTGTGACAGACAGCTGGGTAGGGCAAATGGAGACGGGCATGGTTTATTCCGTACCTGAGAAGAAAACCGGGCCTGAGGTCGTGGCTCACGTAGGACTCAAAAACGAGCGACAACCTTTGAGAGAAGGGAGGAAGCTTTAGGTGCTGTGGATACGTATAGAATATTCACAATCGTTCAACATATTATAGGACTCTCTTCCTTTGCACCTTTTAATTTTTATTATTTATGTCAAAAGCAATAAAATACTGAATCTGACGTTCAATAATAATAATAATAATAATAATAATAATAATAATAATAATAATAATAATAATAATGAAAATAATATTCTTTCGATGTCTAATTTCATCACATACACAGAAATAATTGTGGCGCTTGAGGTGAAATCCCCAATGCACTGAACAACAGTAGTGACATCTTACACTTGTACCGTGATGTGTACATATCCGTTGAGAAGCTCGTGATTCTGGACACCTGCAGTATCGTCCGAAGAATACGGGGAGAGTAGATGGCAAAAATGTCGTACCGAAATCGAACGTCCTGTGGCTAAACAGAATCGGAGTAAGAGAGTGCCTCCACTGGAGTGAAAAAATAAAAAAAATAAAAAAAGAATGATTGTAATTTTGTATTCTCGTTGGGAATTGTACTTTTTCGTATACATAATGTAGGCAAAATCCACTGGTCCTTGAGTCTAAAAAGTAGTGTATTTTAAATTGACCTTCTGTCCTCCAGACTTGAACATCACTAGCTCTTAAATTGTTCCCAGAATTTTCACCCAAATTGATATTCCACAACCAATCTGGCTGAGTTAGATGATTTGGGAATGTTAAACGACTTTTAAATTTGGGGGGTACTTTACCTAAAGCCCTGGCAACATTTTCTCAAACTTGTCTCTCGAATATAGCTTTTGAAAAGGGGCATAGTTAATTTTCAGTAAAACTTAAGAAATTTCGAAAATTGAACAAGTTAAAAATTTTATGCACTTTGTCGTACAACTACATTATTGAAGATAAATGTTTTTAATTGAAATCTATTCTCAAAGTTTAGAGTTATAATAAAAAAATTGAAGTATAGATCTTTAAATAATAATACGTAATTTTTTTCTGTATGCATAACTAATTTTCGCGTAATTTTGAATGACACAAATTATTTTTCTTTAAAATGTTTCGAATAGAGTAAAGTTTGATAAATAATATCGTAAAAGTCCAATTTTCATTAAATCTTATAAAATTTCGAATGTTAGATTTTTTCGAATTTGCCACACTCTCAGTATATCGAGATCTTGAATCGTGGTTAGAGCGTCTGAGAATCTGGCCTAGTGATTTGCGCTTTTGGGTTCGATGGCTGAAGTGATAGGAATCTAGGAGAGAGTTGGAAATGTGATTATATATATATATATATAT